AAAATGTATTAGAATATTACCTAAGCTTCCAACAATGAAAGAGAAATACACAATTGCGTATTTGTTTTAAACAATGAAAATGGTTTGAACTGTTATAACAATGAAAAGTATTGTTGTAAATTATGCCAAAAAATATATTTAAAAAATTATTAAAATTAGGGAAAAAAAGGTACAGCACATTCAGCGATACCATTGAAAAAGTAAATTTTTGCTCTTTCAGATAGAATTAAAATTGCATTTGTGCTGTAATATTTTTGGAAGTTTAGAAGGAAAACATCAAATTTTGGCTTAATTTTAAATGAATTAAAAATTAATTTTTCATCAAAATTTCAAAAAACAGAAAAGTTTTGAGGAACACATTCCCACCCTTCAAAATATATTTTTGCAGCTCTAGGTGTAGTGGTCCCTGTAGAGCACCAACACACATTCTCCTTTATTATTAGTAGAGATTTATATTCAAGATGGTTTCAAAGCAATTTCAGTAGTACATACTTGTTGCTATTAAAATTTAATTTTCACTTTATTTTAAAAACTAGAGTCAATATTTACCTTGAAATCACTGGAATATCATTTACAAAAAAATCAAATGCTTAGCAGTGTTATCCATATAAAGAGCCATTAATATTTTTAGCAAATAAAGTTGTATTTAATTCTATAAAGCACTAGATTCAAATTAAACAGAAAAAATGTACATTGTGTTCTAATGATTAAAATTAGGAGTTTTTTTTTTTAATCGTTGATGGGGGTAGTTCTCCATCAGTACAAAACTCCAGGTGAAATAATCAGACAAAAAAATGTTAGTAACAAGCACATTTATTTGATATCTAAATTTAAAAGAATAACACAGAAACATTTAATAGACACTTCAACAACAAACACTTCATGACATTGACACAATGTGATACTGTTTAATAATATCCAACTGATAAAAAACATGTTAAACACTTTATAAAATTGCACAGCCTTATCATTTAATTTCAGCATGCCATTAATGATTTCTAGGGCTCTACCTCGCCACATATTTATTGGTAAATAAGATCATTTTATATGCATTTAATTCAATATTCATGCTAAAAATAAGTTTTAAATTTAACCTATTTCACTTTAAATTTTTCTCATGGCCATGTTCAAATAAATTAATTTTAAACACCGACTTTTAATACAATGTTTACTGATGACCACTTGGAATCAAAGCTTTCTTTCTTAAAAGTGATCGGGCACTTTTGAGGTTGATCAAAATGGTGTTTTGTATAATAATAAAACTATATACAGTGGATGCCACTTAATATGATTATGGTTAATATTATCATTCGCTTTATATTATCAAAAACCTCTTGTCCAAAACCAACATATTCCCCCAAATGTACACAAAAATATTCATTTAGTGTGATCACATTGTTTAATGGTATCAGTTTCGAAGTACAGAATTGACCCATCCAGCATTTTCAACTAATAGTGTTACCTTTTAAATTATGTCTGTGTAATGTTTACCTGGGGTTATTAGTTAGCTTTTCGAACACAACGCAGTTACGATATTTTCTTGGCTATACTATTTATACGATCAAAATTGAATTTAAATTAATCAAAGATAACTACACGACAATACACTCTGCACGTGACAAATATCAAACTCTTTTAGGCATGGCTTTAATAGTTCCCTCAACAAAGTAAAACTCACACTATATTTGAAGCCTTACATCTGTTCTATTCACCGCATAATGCACCTTCCCAATTCTCTCTATCTACCATCTCACCCAAAATTTGAAATTTCATCTTAAAACAGGTTATGCTTTCTGATTTGAAACATGTTCATAAAATGTATAAAGATAATTAGTAAAATCATTAAGCATTGGAGTATTCTAGTGTAATACCAAATACATATGTTTCATAACTTGTGCAACATATTTGAGAATTTTTGTTTATTGTTTAAATAAAAATTTTAATGCACTACAATAAGAAAGCAATCCAATTATATTACAGAGAAGAACTATAATGTTTAGTAATGTACAGACTATAAAATAATTTTCATCACTGCTTATATTGAAAGTTAAACCTTATCACTGATTATCATAATATATATATATATATATATATATTCCTCTATCATGAAATATTTCTGCTTTGAAAGCCTGTTTATTATTGTTGTACAACACATCTCTTATTATATGGTTCCCCATCAACAACAATTTTTTATTATTATAATGCAGTTATCATAACAAACATAGATTTTATTCCAGAATTCTTTTTCCTCAAAATAGTGATTAGAATGTTTATAGTTATATTCTTTCTGGTTTTTTAAAATTTAGTTTATAAGAGTAAAAATGTTATGTTTACAATGAAAACTCACCTTCATTGGTATAAATAAAAATGACCGAAGTTTTTCAGATATTTGAATGAGGGCACAGATGAAAAGCAAATCATTTAATCTTTTAGATGTTATTAAATATACTGCTTCCTTAAAAATAAAGCCATAACAACTATACGTTATTATAACAACAGTTGACATACATGAGAAGTTTTATTTCAGAATAAAATCTATTTTTTAAAATATTGATTCAACCATCATTAGTCACAACAGCGTTTTCAGATCTTAGAATGATGGAACAGATGAAACGCAAATGATTTATGGCTTATAATATCTTATATGATATTATTCAACATGCTGCTTCCTTAAAAATAAAGCTATAAAATTTCCTTTCAAGTTAAATATTTCACAAAAAAAAATTGTTTCTATTTAAATTAAGTTAAATATATTGAACGGAACACTCGGCAGACTATCAACATACGCAGTGAGACCTGTTGGATTTGTGAGGTGCTATGCTAGAGGGGAATTTACTTTTCCCTCGATCCTTTCCGGCTCCCGTCTCTTCAGACGGCGCATGTGCAGAAAGGCCTGCTCGATTTGTGAGGTGCGGAAATTAAAGAAATCGTTGAAGGTCACAGAATGGACAACACTCCTCGTGGACAAGGTCACACAGACGATGTTTCCTCTTGGAGGGTGCAAGACAAATGTTACCCCCTGTTCCCCTTCGAGATAACGTGGCAGGGCCAGGGAAATATAATGTATTTCTCTGGCCCTGTGACGTGGAAACATATCGCCTCTCGGTACTGAGGTTGACTTTAGAGAGATTCACAGTTCTGTGCCGTGAAAAGTTTTTTTCCCCTCTAAATTTTAAATGCTTATATTTTTTGAAATTAAAGTGCATTTCAAATTGTAGCAATAATTTCAAATAAATATTTTAGAGGTAGCAGCTGATAACTGCATTCATTTACTGTTCTCTTAACTTCAAATTTCATTTGCGAACTGGAAACTTAGAACTTTGAATTCTAAGTGATCTATAAATCTTTTAAATATTTCACTTTTTTTACTTATCATTTTGAATTTGAACTAACATTTATCCATAAAAAAAATCAACTAAATTATATTTTTTTATGATCATTTCTATGTATATGATAGTCATTTGTTTGGGTTTCCAATTACGTTTTTACAGTTATAAATATTGTGTTTAAAAGGAATAAAGTGAAATTACTTCTGATAAATAAGCTTATGATTTAAAATATGTAACATTAAATACAACAATAAACAACTATTTAAATATCCTACAGTTCATACATTTTATGATGATAATGTCGATTCATTTAGGTTATAAATTCTGTATAAGGAAACACTTGATTCATCAATATGTATAGTTAAAATTAAAATAAAATACTAGAGTGGCGTGGGTTGCTCTTCTGAACTCTGGGCGCCAGCAGTTTCCACTGGCCTCGCATCAATGGTGTGTGTTCCCTCCAAGATATATGAACTATGCTCTTTTGACTCGGACTATCACAGTTACAATAAAGGCGGCCGTTTGAACTGACCAGAGTGGCGAGTGGGAAGCGATTGGCCAAACCCAGAGGTCCTGTGGATCGAAAACCATCGCTCCTCGCATTTTTTACGTTTTGTTCTAGGCTCGTTTATTTTGACACTCAAGCTTAGAGATACTTCCTTGTAACTACGATGATGAGAAAAACATGAGGGCCAAAATTTATCTAGTTTAGATGGCAAATACAAATTATTAGCTTCCTTATCAAAATTTTTAGCTAAATCTGTGCATGTAGGAGAAAGTTCTACGAATTTTCTTCTTCTTATAATCAACTGGGAAGAAAATTGTTTCATTAATAAAATTGACAGGAAAATTATTGAATTTATTTTTATATCTTTAACATATATTAATGTATATTACTTTATTTATCTGGTTATTTTAAGCATTTTTACTACTCGGAGATGGTGAAATCAGGTAGAAAAGCACTTTACAAGAACAATCTGTTAATTTGAAAAGCTTTAGGCTGCAACGAAATCCAGTGCTGTGTTCAAAATCTGCCTTTGTAAAACCAAGCTGATTACGTTTTATTATTTATTTTTAGATGTTGTTTTAGAGGCGCAGCTCGCGCAAAGGAATGATTGTAATTGATTATTGATTTTTAATTAATTAATTTAATTTAACTCTTGAATTAATTTTTGAAGCTTTAAAAAGTCACGCTACATTTTTAAAAGACTAAATTAGAATTTATTTACGACTTTTCGTAAATAACAAATAAATAACCTTTTGATATTAAGAAAGTCATTATTTTCTCTTAGTCTCATGGTACAATAAGCTTAATTTGAGATTAGTTTTCTATATTTCTGACAGCAGATTGTAGACAATTATTGAAGGCAGAAATTAAATTATTTTAATTTCTTTCCAAATGCACAATATTTTCATCTTCCCTGTCGTTGTTCTGCACCAAATGATCTAATAATGCAAAATTACAATTAAAAAGTTGCTGGAAAAATTAATTCAGGATGTAACGGATTAAAATCCTTGCTTTTATAATAAAACATGTGATACACCTTTTCTCAGATTCATTGTAATGCTCAAGAGTAAAAAAAAAGAAAAGGCAGCATTTATTTGCTTTAACTGTTCGGTTTATTGCATGTTCACCATAAAAGATTGAATAAATTTTTAAAAAAATAGCGATATTTCCGCCCGGGATCGAACCGGGGACGTGCGCGTGTGAAGAGCACGTGATAACCACTACACTATGGAAACGACGACAACAAGTGTAATATTATTCATTTTGTCGTGTATGTCAAAATGAAAATGCAATGCGGAGGGAGGACTGCTTTTCTTTTGGTAACTGGAAATATTTACAAGAATTGTATAAACACCGGAGTGGCGTAGCGGGGGTAAGTGGCGCCCAGGTCATAATATGATTTTTTTGCCCACCCTCGTCATCATCAGCGTCCGGAACATGGTGATTTTTTGCCCCCTTTATCGTATTTGAAAAAGTCACACGAATGCATGAACGTTTTGTCACCATGGCTAGTGGCGTTGCGAGGGTAAGTGGCGTCCAGAAAACATATGAATTTTTATTAATTAGTCCTGGTCAGTGGCTTAACAAGCGTAAATGGCGTGCGAGAGAATGGTATTATTTTTTTGCTCCCTCATCATATTTTGCTTTGAAAATGGTACAAATGCAGTATTGTTTTGACTCCATGGCGCCCCCTGAAACTGGTGCTCAGGACATTTATCCCCCCCTTGTCTCCCGGTCGCTACGCCACTGACATGCTTAAAGTGTTTTGGTTGTAGGAATTAAGGTTGACTCGTGCATAGGGTTACCATACTGTTTTAATGCCACGAGAAAAACCTTAGACACCAGATATCCCGAAGGCGGTTGTTACGGAAACGGGATATTCCATTGCATTTTGGGGGTGAAGAAAATTGCTTCATTCCGTTTGGCACAGATAGAACCGGCGGAAGTCTCATTTGGCTTCATACTTCGGTCGAAAACGAATTCTCGCCTAACGAAGAGCGGTCAATTTGCCAAATGTTGCGGCTGATTTTATATCCTTTTTCCTTCTTTCTTCGACTCGTCTACGTGAGGCAACCCTGTTCAGAGATTTTCGCCTGGCGGTATGACAGTAATTTTTAAAAATTTAAAACCGGATATGCCGGGGAGAGGGGGTGAAGGTCTTGGAAGGTCAAAGCTTATTATAAAATTTCAAAAGCTGCCTACCGACGATCCTCTTCAAAAGGGACGGTCCGGAGATCCCTCTCACCACATTTGAGGCCTGGCATGGCAAGCAACGAGGTAGACTGAACTCCAACAGTAAAATCATTAGGTATATCATTTTCTTCTCTTTTTAATTTCTGATTTTCTTCTTTTGTGTGTGTGTGAAAGTAGGAGTGAACGGATACTGAAAGTTGTATGCTATTATCTAAACTTTTTCCCTAGCAGAAAAACACCCCCTATGCAGCAGAATTCAATTTGGGTCAACTCATTTTAAATAAGGTCTAATTACGCTAAATTGTTAGGAGTCGAAGATTGTGGCCCAAGAGGCCGTACGCTTCGCCCCCATCACTATTGGCAGGACGGCAAGAACAAAAGCAGAGCCTGGTCCAAAGTTGACATGCTCGGCCTAGAAACACATTTCGTGACACAAAATAATTTATTGCATTTTGTTATTTATCACACAGCACAAATTAGTATATCAAAGACTCAAAGAATGCATAAAAATGACGCATAACTAAAATATTTTTATAAGGTTGCATTTCAATCACATTCAAAATCGTTTTTAAATCAATTAACAAAAATAATTGCTTTATAAACTCATAAAATAAAATTTGGAATGCGACTTGCTCTAATAAGGTAACAAAATGTTACTTTTGCTTCATTTTCTTCCAAGCGTTATATCAAATTTGTTGATAATTTAATCAAAATTTAAATTTAGAGCTAATTTGGATTCGACAGATATCATAGCTAAGAAAATAAATCGTTTCTATTAATGCTAGATCTCAAGTAATTTTTTTAATTATTTTCAATCATGAGAAAGAGTATTCTGCAGATGCGCAATTAATTGGTAAGGTTAATATATTTTTTAGAAAGGTCACAAAATTTAGATAAAATTTAAATAAATTATTTTTAAATAAATGTTGTAATTGTTAAAGTAAAATTCACCAGCCGTGGACCGAAGCAAGAGAAAGAATAATTTATTATATACAAAAGCAGAGGTATATGTACATTGAAATAATGATTAACCAATAAGAGAAGAGCGCGCTTCTAAAAATAGAACATGACATCACACACCAAATAGTGAGACAGGAAGTGGATGAGTAATTGTATGCGATGCGCGATTACAGATTGAATATGAAATCATAACAGTAATATGATGTCCCTGAATGGCAAAACTCGACCAGAAAAATTGATTTCATTAAATAAATCAATGAAATCGATATCGGTTGTATGGTTGCATTGCAACACCTAAAAAGGTACTGTTCAGCAACGGATTCCGAGACTACCACATTTGGACGATTCTACACCGGAAACGGGTGTCAGGCAATGAGTCGTATGAGTGCATTTCCGTAGCTCTTTTTTAGATCCCGCTCAGTAAAATGTAAACATCACCGTTCCATTCTTCACATTCCCCCTATTTTGATGAAAATAACTCCGCCTGGCGCATGGGCAAAGGCGCTGAGGGTTTCCGAATCCGTTGCTAAACAATAGTCTTCAGTCAATTTTGTGAATATTATCCTAATTATGCAAAAATCCATATGACGAATTTTGCTCGAGATAAATTTCGAATCTTTTCTAAAAAGAAAAAAATGGCATTATCGATTATGACTTGAAAGTGGACGATGGGCAGATGAAATTGACTGATTGGTTCCTTCAAAGAAAAATTGCTATTTTTCCCATCCACTTTTTTGATTCTTAAATTAAAGTGTCGCCTTCAACTAACTATTCAAGTATTACCTTTGCAGTTATTAAAAGCAGATTTGTATGCCGATTCATGATATTTTTTAAAACGATATTTTAAAATATTTTTGGTCGACTAGCTTTTCCTTTGAAGTCTTTGACCGTTTCAAGACAAATCGTCCCTGTAAATAGGAGCAGATCATCAAATGGACAGAGCGGGCAACTGTCTAGGGGCGCTGTAACTTTTGGAGGGCTCCCAATACATCGTGGTGCTTTTTAATATGCATTATATTTACAGTAAATTTTATATTAGGCTAGCAGTACGCGCACGGCGTTGAGGACTTCAACAAAATGAAAAAAAAAAAACCCGCCCACAATGACATGAAAAAGTTTTGAAAAAAAATCAAAACAAAAGATACACATTATTGATTTTCCAGCGTATTTTTTCACGATAATGACATTTTAATTGTAGAAAAACAGTACAGAGTACGTTATTCCAAAACAATATTAAAAAATTGCAACGTGAAAATCATTATTATACAGCAAGCAAAATATGCGACACAAATCAAAACTTCAAGATACTGACGAAAATAATAATCGAAGTCATTCAATTGAAGGTTATTACGTCACCTGCACTCTTCACCTTCAGCCATTGAAAGTGTCGCGGGAGGAAGCTCTCAAGAGAAAAATATCTTTCAACTAACAATGAAAAAATTAATTTAAAAAAAATGGGAAAATATATTTTAACCGTTCTTGCTTTAAATCCGACAGAACCGTTCCAGTTATAAGCTGAAAAAAATTGAAAATATTATTACTATTAGATCTTTGGATTCAGCAAATTTAAAAACAAAAATAAAATTTCGACGGCGAAACTGACTATTGTTTTAAAATTTCTCAAAATTCAGTAAATTACGTTTGACGCTCAAAACAGATTTCATTAGAAATAAAATTGTTTGTTCCACCCGATGGTGTATCAATTTTTTTCGAACAAAATCAGAAACGATAGTGTGGACAAAAATGTTTCAAAAATCACAAAACATTAAATAAAAATTTTCCAGGTTAAATTTTCAAATTCGGAATTCGAGGTGCATTGAGTCACCTTTACGACTACCTGTGTGCCAAATTTGATGGCTGTGAGTGCGATAGATTCGTTTCGACATTACACAAACATTGCACACACATCATACAAACATTGTACACACATTATACAAACATTGCACTTTATAAGTATGAATTATTTAGTCTGTGTAAAAATGTTTTGTAATATTTTCACGGATTTATAAAAAAAATTACTTTTAACTTTAAATGTTAGATTTTTTTTTTTATTTCTGAGATATTGAAACCATTTTGCTGAAGGTCATCGGCAAATTAAATATTTTTTGTTTCAGTCAGTCTTAATTTTTGTTACTTAATAACTGCTTATATGAAAATCACTAAAATATATTTGGTTTTCAAACCGAAGAGGGAGGAAACGAAGCTTGTATTGCCTCTAGGCTCCTACAGGGTTTAATCCGGCTCTACTTGTATATTCAAATCATTTTCACAGTCATCTACATTAATATATCTTAAAATAACAGATAACATTATTCTTGATGGCTCACGCCTGGAGTGATAACGAAAACACGCAGAAAAACTGATGCGTCACAGCTAGAAAACTGCCAAAAATTTTATACATTTGGTGATCAGCTCACGATCGACGAAAACTTGGAGCTCTTTCTTGGGAGATGATCATTTATTCAACATACGTAAAATAAATTTTCTTCTTTTTCTATTTTATATGTCATTCTTTTTCTCCATTATAATTTCTGAACAGATCAAAGTAGTAAACTGAGAAAAATATCTAGAAATATGAAACAGATGGTGGAAAAACGACCTGGAGTAGACAGAATGCGTGGTTGATACACATTTATTTGAAAATATTGACACAACTTTTTTTTTGGAAAGCTAAAAAATTATTTCACGAACGGTAATAATTAGAATTATACGCTGTATTTATACATTGACAAATGTATTAGATTAACAAAATATAGGATTTCAGTCAAATTTGGTCATAAATAACATAATAAAATACTTGTCACACTTTTTTCCTAAAAATGGATTAGTATCAAACTGCCCCATGCTTGGGGTACATTGATTCTTTCACGAAAATATCGAAAATAATGATGATTAATAGGTATGGGATAAAAACAAATTTGTTTTATCAAAAAATTTTGTATCACAAATCAAGGTTTAAAAGTTTAACAAAGTAACAAACTTTTATTGAAATCAAAATTCAACATTTTTTATGAGACTGGAAAAATGAGACAATAATGCCTCAGAACATAATTTATCTCTACTCTCTACAATTAAGAAATAA